TGCATGAGTAATGTGAGTTCGCCAATTCTGTAAGTAATAAAAGTAAATAAAGATTGAGCAGTAGTGACGAGCAATAAAACATATACAGTTCATATCATGAAATCTCAGTAGCATACAACAGGCTTTTAAAATCATGGTTTTGAATCAACTCGGCTCATTTAAATCCAGTTTCAGCAAAACCGTTTAAAACATCTTTCAAACAAAGTGATGAAATAGTGAGTAAAAATGATGAAAACATAAACATCCCCTCGGGCAAAACATCACTCGTGAACAGTCCCTGGTGCAAACATGAATCATAAATAGTCCCTCAGGCAAACCTCGTAGTCACTCATATACAGCCCCTTGGGCATACCTCACAATCACTCGTAAACAGCCCCTCGGGCACAACATGAATCAAGAATAGCCCCCGGGCAAAACATCATATCACTCACTCAAGGTACCTGTGCTCACTAGGGGGTGTGCAGACTCCAGAGGGGCTCCTACAGCCCAAGCGCTATAACAAGCCACCTCGTGGCATAAATCAATCAGGCCCTCGGCCTCACATAATCATGAATCAGTAACAAAATGTTGTGGCGTGTAGCCCGATCCCATAATATCCTCACAAAAACAGGCCCTCAGCCTCACTCAGTCATAAACCTCTCAAGTCACTAGGGCTATCAGTAAAAATAGGGTGCTCACCCCAAAATAATATTTTATACGCATTAAATCAGAGTGATAAAGACTGAGTTATGAAATCAGTAAATATAGTATGACTGAGTATAGATTTTCAATCAAAATAGTGGGACGATAATAAGGAAAAGGCCCCTAAGGGTCCAGACAGCTCTATCACAAGGCCCAACTATGGCATTCAACCCAATTTATAGAAACTCTTTCTAAAACACATAAGTATCATATAGTATCATTCAAATACGCAACTTTACAGTTGCTACGGGACGGACTCACAATCCCCAACAAAGCACGCCTACATGCCCGTCACCTTGCATGTGCGTCACTTCAAAATAGTAAAACGATGTGAAATTCGGGGTTTCATACTCTCAGGACTAAAATTACAATCATTACTTACCTCAACCGGTCAAATCCCTACTCCGTGATTCTCTTGCCCCTCGACTCGGCCTCCAATCACTCCGAATCTATTTACAACCAGAACAATACCATCAATATACACTAATGGAATGAATTCCACAAGAAAAAATATCAAATTAGGCACAAATCCCGAAATCTTCTCAAACCCGACCCCCGGGCCCATATCTCGGAATCCGATAAAAATCAAAAACCTAGAAAGCACTTACACTCACGAGTCTATACATACCAAATTCATCAAAATCCGACATCAAATGGTCCCTCAAATCCCCAAATCAAACTCTCCAATTTCCAATCCCTAACCCCTCATTTTCATCCCTAATTCCTACTAATTACATGCTTTAAACAACTGAAAATCACCAAAAGCATGAGTATTAGGCTCAAGTAACTTACCTCAATGAAACCACCTTGATTCCCTCTTCAAAACTCTCCAAAAGCTTCAAAATACGAATAGAAATGGTGATGAATGATCAAAATTCGCGAAGGATTTAATTTATACCTTCTGCCCAGGCATTTTCGCACTTGCGGTGCTGCTTCTGCGCCCAAATGTCTGCATCTGTGGAAGTCTCTTATAGTCCAAGGACCGCATCTGCGCCCCAGGCATCGCACATGCAGGCCTGCAGATGTGTCAAACCCACCGCATTTGCGGCTTCTCTCTGAGTCCTCCAATTCCTCATCTGCGGCTTCCCCACCGCATCTGCTACCTCGCACCTGCGGTTTCCACTTCGCAGGTGCGGTTACATCAGAAGCAGCAACTTCAGCTGCACAATTCTATTTCCAAAACTTTTGTTAACCATCAAAATTCATCCCGAGGCCCTCGGGACCTCAGTCAAAAATACCAACAAGTCGCATATCAAAATACGAACTTAGTCGAACCTTCGGAACACTGAAAACAACATCAAAACACCAAATTACCCTCGAATTCAAGCCTAAGAACTTCTAAACTTCCAAATTCCGCAAATGATACCGAAACCTGCCAAACCTCGTCCGAATGACCTGAAATTTTGCACACACGTCACAAATGATACTACGAACCTACTCCAACTTCCAAAATTTTATTCCGACTCTGATATCAAAATTTCCACTGCCGACCGAAAATTGCAAAATTTCCAATTTTACCAATTCAAGCATAATTCTACCACAGACCTCCAAATCTCATTCCGGATGCGCTCCCAAGTCTAAAATCACCCAACGGAGCTAACAGAACTATCAGAAATCCAATCCAAGGTCAAATATTAAAAAGTCAAAAAATTGGTCAAACCTTTCAAATTTAAAGCTTCAAGCTGAGAATCATTCTTCCAAATCTATTCTGATTAACCTGAAAAACCAAAAACGACGATTTACATGAGTCATAATACATCATGCGGAGCTACTCATGTCCTCAAACAACCGAGCGAAGTGCAAATACTCAAAAAGATCAATTGGGTCGTTACAATAAGCCTAGAAGAAAACATGTTCAATCCCTACAAGTCAAAGCCTCTAATCTTTTCTCACAAAATAGCTATGGCCATCAAAACAAGACACGAATTTTGTTAAGTGGTATCACTTGATTTATATTTAGCACAGGTACGTCAGTTCTATGTCTATTAGCAAAAACTAGTATTAGTACCCATGCGATGCGCGGACACAAATCATGTCGGATTGTGATTTTGATTATTTGAATTATGTATAAATAACTTTAAAATATAAACCTTCCAGATAAAATTTATTGATAATCATTAGATATTAATTAAGAAGCAAGACATGAAACCATTTCGCAAATCTCATAGTGGATAACCTGTTTTCTTTTTCTATATTTATATAATCCAATGGGTTAATTTTAGTACTTGAATTTCGTTTCGTTATCAATATTAAAAATTACTAACTATGTCATGTGGTGATTTGTCTCGTTTGAACATATTAAATTATATTATTTTAATAAAATTTTCAATATTAGTTTATTTTTTATCTCAAGCTTTAATAAGTCTTACNATTAAATTATATTATTTTAATAAAATTCTCAGTATTAGTTTATTTTTTATCTCAAGCTTTAATAAGTCTTATTCTTTTAAATTTTACACAATTTTTTTTGTTCTTTGCTTATAATTATTATATTATTTATTATTTAATATTATTATACTTTCATGTGATTTTTTTGGCTTACTAATTGACTTTATATTTTGCTTATTATTCTTTTAATAATTATAATATATTTTTTATTCTTGAAATTTAATATATTTTACGCTTTTATCCTCTTATTCAAATCTATTTTACAATCTATCAATAATACNATTATGCCAAGTGACTTTTTTCTAGGCTGCCACTTGGCTTAAGGAGAGGGCTTTTTCCTCTCCTTTTAATAATATATAGATTTTCGCCGAAGCGGTGTGACGTGCCACTGATTACACTAACGTGTGTCCACCCTTGTTACGGGGAAAAGCTATTTTTTCAGTTTATGTTTTCTGCTACTATTCAAAAAGTGCTTATGTCTCCTCTAAAAACTTGGTCAGACACCTCAGCTCTCTTAAATAAATACTTTTAATATTTAAATTAAAGCACTTTTGGCTTCTTAAAAACTTGGCCAAACAGGCTACTATTCAAAAAGTGCTTATGTCTCCTCTAAAAACTTGGTCAGACACCTCAGCTCTCTTAAATAAATACTTTTAATATTTAAATTAAAGCAGTTTTGGCTTCTTAAAAACTTGGCCAAACAGGCTATAAATCAGATTTAAGTCAATAATATTGGAATAGATTTTCCAATTTCTAGTTAACGTTTAGGTTTTTGCACTACTATAAATATAGGAATGCTAATATCTATTTACTTGTGTAGAAAACATTGAGAGATGTATTGTAATTATGAATTAATTATTTTTCGGTTAATTGTATACCTCGAAAATGGTAAGTAAATTACACCAAAATATCAATTTTCTCAAAATTTCAACATTACGTGTGTTCCTACCTGTTTTTTGCAAACTCAGTACAGCGTTTAAAAGATGGAATTCAGTTTCGTTTAATTGCCCCACAACTTGAATTTTTTAAGTTTCTGTTCTCTGGAAGAGAAGGGAGATACTTTAAAAACAATAGTAGAAGGAATTCACCTTTGAGTGGAATTCAGAGAGTTGAAATTTCAGAAAACCAACCAATTTTAAGAGAAGCATACCATCCATTAACACTTGTTCGTATCATTTAGCTCAATGATTTCGAGAAGGGATTGTTTCAGAGTGTGAATAATTGTGTTGATAACGTGTTATACAATGGTATAAATTGAAAGTAAAACAAAAAAAATTAGAAAAGGAACTTAAAGAGAGATTTATTTCTTCTTCTTGGTGTATTACAAATAGGTCACAAGTGACTATTTATAAGAAAAGGAAGACTCCCACATGAAACTTCATAACCTTAACTTATTGTTATGTAACAAGATTTCTCCATAAATCTTGTTATGGAAAGACATCCACAATGCACAAGGTCCTAGTTAAGAAGTGCACTGCACAACTGCAAAAGCAACTCCCTAACAACTTTATTCAACAAGATAAAAATACAACATATACATCTACTTTGTAAACAAAGAAGAATGAAGTTTCCTTAAGATGAGCAATAGTTGGCAGCTCAAATTTTGATGGATTCCACGAGTAGGGTAATAATGTGAGGTTTTAAGACTTTCTCCGGGTTAGTATATCCATCTTGATTGTTTTTATATGTAAAGTCAACAATACGAGCAAAATTAAGAATACGAGATAAAAGCTCCATAGAGACAGGAGTAGGCCTAAGAATTCCTTCGTTAACATCCTTCCATGCTGCATCAACCATTTCTTGAAATTTAGTCATTGCCTCTTCTGTTGATACTCCATAATCTCTCATGTAGCACTCAATTCCTGTTGCAATTTGTCCCCTACTTTTTTCAACCTGTAAAGGCAGATTGATTAATTAGGGTTGCCTCAATTGTCGTTGCAATACTTTGTTTGGTCAAATATCATATAATGATCTAATCCGTGTGGGATACTACCTCGTATGTTGCTATGTCATCAATAATTCGGCATAATATCGCACTAGCTTCAAAAATCTTAGGATTCTTTGCTAACCACTCAAAATCCTGCTCGGTAATAGACTTCACGCCCAAATAACATGTTGTAGGGCACGAGTAATAGGTGCTAGTTGCAAGTCCATTGCTTAGGTATTCAGAAAAATGTGGCTTATATCCTTCAATAAACCATTTTGCCTCGATATTATAATTCCTTACTAGTTCTTTGACCTGTAAAACCCAAACATATGAATTGAAGTGTTAGAGAATTGTATCTTGATTGCTCCAAGTTTATGATCTGCTAGCCGCCAGACAAAATGACGTGAGAAATGAATTACGAAAAAAATAATTGGATAGTTAGGTTGTTGGGACTACACACTCTTTCTTTTGCATGGTAGACAACATGAGATCTTCCATCACTAGACAATTCCTTTTCATAATCCTCATGAAGGTCTAAAAGAGCCTTATAACTGATTTTCATGTAATCAGGGAGCCGATCAATTTCGCTAATATCCCATCTGCAAGGTGACAAAGCTATGGTAAATTTGTGCATTTTAAAAGAGCATAAATATAATGAGCAAAAGCTCGCCTTAATCTTTTCATGATATTGATCACTTTCAAAGTATATTTGAATAAGTGAATTGATGAAGTTCATATATACCTTTCTATGGCATCCGTGTATATGTCAAGTTCTTTAATTGTACCATAAGCATCAAAAGTGTCATCCAAACGAATATATATAAATAATTGTAACAATATTTTATTAAAGGCGTATGTGCTTCATGATGAACTTACCTGGAGAGATGTTGAAACCATGTTGCCTGAGCAATCGAAATTGAAGTGCAGAAGTGCACAAATCATCAAAGGTTGAGTTTTGGTTGTAAATTTGATCCAAAATTTCATCAATTTCTTTCTCAAAGTGGTAGGCTATGCCAAGGCGTTCAATAGTGTCAATTAAATTCAACGTATCAGCCAATTTACTTCCAGTAGCTAATAACATACTCCTTGTTTGTTCCTTCAATGGTTCAATCTCTTGAGCATACTTTTCTGCAATCTATTTATAATGTATTAAAAAAGAAAACTAAAATTAGCAAAACTAATGTTGTTCAATAAACATAAAGAAGAAACTAACCATGCTTGCAAGAAGAATTAAACTATATAGAAAGAAGTTAATGAATTACCTGATTTTCAAAGGAGAATGAAAGGAACTGATCACCCCAAAGACTAGGGGAGAAGTTGGCGACGGGGCGAACGATCTCTTCTTGATAGTTGTCAACTGCTGCTGCTGAGGCCATTGCTAATGCAAGATGAAAGTTGATAGAAGAAAGAAACTGTATAGTTGAAAACAGTGAGTGTGATGACATAAATGGAAGAGAAAGGATAAGCATATATAGTGGTGAGAGACACACAACCAACTCTCCAAGTAATCTCTTATTTAATCTTAAGATCACGTTAATGTGATCTTAAGATCAGATTAACTGATCAAAATTAATTTGCAGGATCATCTAATCTTCTTGCAGTTGCCTTACTTGACATTAGACTAACTAGTCATCACTCACAAGGTTGGATCACTTAATTCTGCACGTTAGAAAGAAAACTTAGGCCCAACTGTGGACTTCCAAATATTATTGGAGGCTTCGCGCGTTTTTAAAAAGATAGAATGCAACTTTTACCTACATTTATATTAACTGAAATAAAATACTGTTAAGTAACTTTTATGAAGTGATGGTGTAAATAATTTTGAAACTACCAGCCACGAGGTTTAGACGTCAAATCTAAACTTTCTTATTAATTTATTACTAAAGTAAAAACTACTAAATGTTTTAACAAGAACATATTTATAAGAAACTTTTAAACTCGGTACACTAAGTTCCCGCTATGCGTGGGGTCTATAATGGTCATACCTTCTATTCTATGCAGCCTTACCATGCATTTCTGCAAGAGGTTATTTCTACGGTCAAACACGTGACCTCCTAGTCACATGACAACAACGAACTTTACCAGTTACGCCAAAGCTCCTCTTCTACGAGAGACTTTTAAGCAATGGTAGAAAAGTAGTACTACATTTCCAATTAGAGTCATGGTCAACGTGCCCAAGGCACCCTTAACTATTAACACCAAAATCAAAGATATTGTCAAGGAGATAGAGTAATGGTTAAACATTGTTACAAAGAAGCAAATAAAGTTGCAGATATAAATTTGCATTCATAGCCATATCCACCAAGGCAAATTAGAGGCTTTCTTCAACTAGACAAATAGGAGATGATTTCCTTCATAATCACACAACTAAAAGCTGCAGAGAATTTCAATTTCAGCTACTTGAACTTTGTTTTGTTATTAGTAGATTGAGTAGTGTTTTTTCTGTTGAAGTTTCTTGACAGAATATTCAGAGTTTGGTAACTCTCACATTCTATGAAAGAGTCAAGCACTGCGATGAAGGGAGCCATAGCGTAACTGGTAAAGTTGTTGCCATGTAACTAGGAGGTCACGGGTTCGAGCCGTAGAAACAACGTCTTGCAGAAATGCAGGGTAAAGCTGCGTACAATAGACCTTTGTGGTCTGGCCCTTCCCCGGACCCCGCGCATAGCGGGAGCTTAGTACAGCGGGCTGCCCTTTTTACTCAAGCAATATGGTCCTCCTTTTCCAAATAAGATCCTTTCCCACTATTCTATTTTAAGCTATCCCATTGTATTGTAAATAATTCGACTTAAAAAATTAGTTAAACATTCTTTAAACCTCACACTTATTTCTATTATATTATGAGAAAACTTTTGAAAATACCAGATGTAATCTAAGTTTAACCAACAATACCTTATTGTCGCACTTCCTTTGGTAATCGGTTGGTAACTTAATTTACCAACCAATTTGTTTTTTTGTCGGAATATTCTTTTGTAGTGAATCCAATTATTTAGTGGGTAGACCTTTTTGGTAGATGTAATCGTTCATTAGATTAAAAAAAAAAGGAATATATGGGGTATAATGTAAAATATATGTTTGGTTTATAATAAATAAATTTGGAGAAACTTTTATTTCCAGTTTTTACACTGTCTTAAAAGGCTTTGGATGAAGAGTATTGGTGAAGGACACTTTTGTCATTTAGTTAGTTTATCCTGAGATTATTAATCTACATTGAATAATGAATATTGTATAAAAATAATACTAGAATTGTAATATATCTAGTCCCGGCATTGCTCATACTGGAAACGAAAATTCCAAACATGGAATTAATTAAAGAATCTCATATTTTTATTATGAGATTATTATCTCTTATCCCACAAACCAACAGAGTGAATAGAAGCATATGGTCCAAGTCCTCAATTTGACCTACTTAGATAGAAAATGGCAAGAAAATTACATCAAAATATCAATTTTCTGACTCATTATTGTCTGTATCTCAAATTTTCAACATCACGTGTATTCCTAGCTACAAGTTTTTCCTTTCGTTTAATTGTACCACAAGTTGAATTGCCAGCTTTTCTCCTTCTGTTATTAAAGAACTTTCAAAGTTTTGTTGTGTGGAGGAGAACAGATATGAATTTAAGCGTTTTAATGCTTTATTAGTGGGGCCAAAGTATCAATGAACCCTATTCTCTGTGACAATTACTATGAACAAACCAATTATATACGTTTATTTTTAAAATATAACCACAAAGGCGGCTAGATTATGTTAAGCAAATAAAACTTAATACTGAATTTATAAAATGAAATCTTATTAATTTAGTCACTATAGAAGAGATAAAATTTTCATGTATAGGTATATAATATTGTAAATTTACTCGGAATATTAGAGATAAAACTTTCATGTATATGCATATAATAAAGTGAATTTTATAAATTAATGAAATTAACTACATAAATATAAATATTTCTCGGATTTTCTCCAATACTCTTCCGTATTATCAACTCCCTATAAACGGATGATAATATTACATTATGATGTGAACAGCTCAAACATATTAAAATGAAAAAACCATATATTTTATATACAATAATAGTTTGCAATAAAACATTAACAGTAAGCTATATAAAGTAAAAGAAAGAAAAGGCCATCAATTGCTACTAAGAACCTAATAACCTAATAGAACTTCTATCGCGCCGTAAAATTCATGGACTGGCGTGATTAGCACCCTATACTTTATTCGTATTGAGCGAATCATTCCATATGATATGCCCAAACCATATGCATTAAAACTAAAATAAACCATTTCCAAAACCATGCATAAAATATTTAAATCGAGGCTCATTCGGCCCATTTCATACAAGTAAAAAGTAATAAATTATACAATATCTATAAATGTCTCCGTTCATGATTGTTATGTGGAACCATATTACAACCCTACATTACTATTACTATCTATATATGGAAGCCTCTAAAACATGAAGTAAAATAACCACCCACGACAACCCCCAAATAAATAAAAAGGAAAGAACAACATAATAAGCTAGCGCGAACAAGAAATGGTGCCTCACCAAAATAAGTTGGAAAATAAATCATTTTAGCCCTGTATGCTCATCACGTGCCACACTGGCCTCATCCAGATTTCGGAAATATGACTACACAGGATTAGCGAATTATCCCATGATTACTCACAAAATAAGACGTGAAGTCATCTTATCAATTTTTTTTTCATGAATAGACCTCATCTCACACACACATATATATGTATATATGTGCGCGCGCATGTTTTCATATTGATTGTTTTTAGGTGAAAGAAATTTTTTATTGATTCCCACCTAGCAAAGTTACTTACAAGTAATATTTCCAATCCATAATCTATAAGCTATCCTATCTAGCTCAATGTCAAAACTATATCGTTATTCTCTTCTCCTTGAGCATCCCTAGTAGGTAGGTTTGCCCAGTTAGAAACTAGTCCTACACTATTGCATAGTCATTGCTATTTCTTTATCTGTACAATTTATTGATTCACTCTATTTTTTTTCTATTCTTCCTGTTGGCTTCTATGAGTTATAGTCTGTATTTGCTATCCTCTTTTATGCTCTTCCACATCTTTGTTTGCAATGGTACTTTCTGATTCCATAGAGCTTCATTATATTCCTTGCTCGCCATATTCCATACATAACTGCTGTGATGATTGAGGTCACGAATCCTCGGCATATTCTCCTTTTTATACGTCTACCCATTTTCCTCCAAATGCTTTGCATATCTGGTTGCTTCAGCTTTATTCCCATCCAGTTGCATAGTTCATCAATGCACATTTTAGAGAATTGACACTCAAAGTACAAATGATGAATTGTTTCATCCTGCATTCCACAGAGTAGACATGTTCTCTCCTGGCTTATTCCCATCATATGTAGTCTGTCCCTCATAAGTAATCTCTATCTCATGATCAACTAGCCTATAAAACAATGTTTTGGAACATTTTAATCTATTCCAAATCCATCGTGCATATGACCATTTAATTAGGTGTTGCTCTTCTTCTCCATTGGTATCCTTCATCATTTACTGTGTACCCCTTCATTTTCCCCTTCCACCCTTTTTGTTCAAACCCTACAGCAAAAACTATTTTGATATTACATATTTTCTTCCAATACCATTCACTATCTTGCGGTGGTTTGTATTGCCACCAGTCTTTGTCATTTATGTATATGTGATTTACCCATTTAACCCATAATAAATTACTTTTTTGCTCTATATTTCATACATATTTTACCAATGTTGCTTCATTCCATAGCAAACAGTCTTGTATTCCTAATCCACTCTAGCTCTCTTTTTGTTCGGCAGACTAGGTCCCATGCTACCTGTAAGGATTTGTTCATGACACTTTTTCCATCCCATAGGTAGTTCCTACAGATAGCTACAATGTCCTTCATGACCCTTTTTGGTAGTAAGAAGATGAATTCCCAATATGACTGTAGGTGCAGCAACACTGTATTTACCAATTGAATTCTCCCTGCATACAGTAAGATCCTAGATCCCCATCCTTTGATCTATACCAGTATCTTGTCTATCAACATTTCACAATCTACAACACTTAGTTTCTTTGAGGATATAGGCACTCCAAGATATTTAAATGGAAGTTTACCTTTCTTATATCCTGTCAACTCACATATGTCTTTTATCTCTCTACCATTCATATTTGCACCTAAGATGTTCGATTTATTTGCATTAACAGCCATACCAGATGCATTCGAGAATGATTTGAGTCCCCTTAGCATGAGCATTACTGATAGATAATCTCATTTACTGAATAGTATCATATCATTCGCAAAACAAAGGTGTGTCAGCTTCAATCCTTTGCATTTTGTATGAAAAGCAAATTCTTCCTTTTTAGCTACATGCACCATGCATCATGCGCGTGAAATATTCCA